CTATTCCCTTTCTTAAATGTACCTTTTGATAAACAGAAGTTTTACTTTCATAATGTCTCTTTCATCAAAATTTTTTTCTTTTATTGTTATCGCATTCTATGTCCTGTCTCAGATATTGCTGCCTACCTCAAAGTCACAGAAATTCTCCTATAAGTTTGTTTTACCTTTTACTTTTAGATCTTTGATCCATCTCAAATTAATTTTTGTGTATTGGGTGAAATGGTTCATTTTTCCCCCATATGGATATCCAATAGTTCCAGCATTATTTGTTGAAAACATTTTACTTTCAGGCACCTGGGTGGCTCAGATGGTTAAGCGTCTGCCTTCAGCTCAGGTCATGATCCCAGGGTCCTGGGATCGAGTCCCGCATCGGGCTCTCTGCTCCTTGGGAGCCTGCTTCTCCCTCTGTTTCTCTCTGTCTCTCATGAATAAATAAATAAAATCTTTAAAAAAAAAAAAAAAAGGAAACATTTTACTTTCCTCACTAAATTGTGCTTTGTTTGAAAATCAATTGTCTATGTAAGTATGGGCATACCTCTGGACTCTATTCCATTTCATTGATCTATTTGATACCATACTGTCTTGATTACTAGAGTTCTATAATAAATCTTTAAGCTAGGTAGTACAAGTTCTCTGGTTTTGTTCTTCCTTTTCAAGATTGACTACTCTAGGTCTTTGGCACATTCATATAATTTTAAAGTCAGCTTGTCAATTTCTATTTTTAAAAAGTCTTTCGGATTATGAATGTGATTGCATTAAATATGAAATACTAACTTTAAGTAGAGAACAGAGGAGAAATTCTGAGGACACAGAAAGTAAAAAGGGAGAGATTATGAGTACCAAATGAAACAAATACTCAAAAATTCCATTAAATTTAACAACAGGGAAGTCACCAGAGCTTCACAATGGTAGCTTCATTGCCCTGGTTGGAGAAGAAACCAAAGTGAAACTAAACATCCAATTTCCTCTTCATTCCTATTAATAAAACACCTGAATTGTAGCTGGGCATACAGATAACCGAATAAAGACAACATTACCTATCTCTCCTCTACTTAAGTGTGACCACTGATTAGAAACCGGCTAATGGGCTCTAAGCAGATGTGTCACATGCCAACTTCTTAGAAGTGTCCTTAAAAGAGTATGTGCCTTTCTTCACCTTTTCCTTTTCCCCCTTGCTATGAGCAGGTGGCAGATGGAATTAAAGCACCCATCTCAACCACGAGGTAGCATGCAAAGGAAGGCAGAACAGCAAGAAAGAGGAGCCCAAGTCCCTGATGATCATGGAGCTGCTGCCCCACCAGCTATGGCCTGCCTACCTATGGAATCAGATGCAGAGTTAAGGTTTTATTAGCATCTTTCTTTGTAATGCAGCCAAGCCTGATTCTAATACATCACAGTTTTAACTATCTATATGCCAGTGATCCCAAAGTTGTACCTTCAGTCACAATCTTTCCAGACTCATCTATCCAACAGCTACTGGAACATTTCCACTTGGATGTCCAAGAGATCTTTCAAACTTAACTGTCCAAAACAGAATTCTTTATTTTTTTCTCCCTAAAGTCTTCCTCCATTCATCCTCCCATGGCAACCAAATGGCAAATGGTTTTTGGTGATAAATGATAACTGACCTATCTTGTAGCTCAAGCAAAACACCTAAATGTTGCCTCTGATTCCTTGTTTTCCCCTCACCCCCTGTCCAAACCATGCAAAATTCCTGCTCAATGCCATCTAAATACATCCCAAATCCATCTACCTTTCTTCATCTTTACCGTTACACATCTAGTTGAAATCATCATCATCTCTCACCTGGAATAATGCAATAGCATCCTCAATGTGCTTTTTGTAACTTAAGAAATCCTTCCCAGAGAGATGAAGTTCTGGAGATAGACAGTAGTGACAGCTGCACAAGAACATAAATGCCACCAAACTATACACCTAAAAGCGGCTAAAATGGTAAATTTTATGTTAGGTGAAAAAAACCTTTCCTGGAAACAATATAGCCTCCTATATATTTTTCTAAATATTATGTAGATGTCCTTCACACTGAAGTCTTCAATCCATCTGGAAATCACTGTTGTGAATGGACAGTAACAGGAATCTAATTTAGTCTTTATTCTATATGGATACCACGTATTTCAATATCATTTAGTGAACAGGGTACACTTTCCCCTGTTTTAAAAGACCACTTAGTGGTATGCTAAACTCCCATATTTATGTGGGTGTGTTTCTAACTTTCCATTCTATTCCATCTGACCACTTTTCTATCCCTGAACCAACACTAGCAATTAACACTTAACAAGTAGTCTTAATTATCATGGCTTCATATTGTTTTGATACCTGGGAAGAAGGGACTTCCATTTGATTTTTTTTTTCCCCAAAATTGACTTAGTGATTCCTAGTACTTTGGATTTCCATATATATTTTAGGTTCAGCATGTCAAGTTCCATAAAAAATCATGTATAATTTTAATTAGAATTGCACTGAATTGTAGAATTGGGGAAAACTGACACCTTTATGATACTGAGTCTTGCCACCCGTGAATACAGTGTTTCTCTCCATTTACTTGGCTCTTCTGTTATGTGTTTCAAAGAACATTATAATCTTCTCCCTAGAGGACTATACAGCTTCAGTTTGATCTATTTCTAGATACCTTTAGCTTTGAATACTGGTATGAATAGTACCTTTTTAAAAATTAAAATTCCTAGTTAGCTATTGCTAACTATAAGCAATATAGTTAAATCTTATAGTTAAATCTAAATTTTTAAGCTAAAAATAACTAGAAGTTATTTTTTAATTCAGAAATCTTCCTGAAGGCCATTTTTTCCCCATTTATTGAGTGCTACTTCCCTTTCCCAGATTTGTGATCTCTTCCCTTACCTTATAAATGCATGTATATGCATGTCTACACATATACACACACATTTTTCTTTTGTTTTGTTTCTGGGATGTTTATTCTGTTCCATTCTCCTACTACTACCACACTGTCTTAAATGCTGTAGTTTTATATTTTGATAGCATTACTCTTCTGTCTCAAACTTTTCTTAGCTATTTATGTTCATTTATTTTTCCAAATAAATACTGCAATTATTTTGCAGGTTCTTCCCCAGAGCCCAATCACTCTTAATTACATCACCATCTACCTTCTTGTTAACTGATTTTGCTATCTTTCTCCCCCCACTGTAATTGGCTGCCTGCTCATCATTGTATTCCCAGTGTCTAAAACAGCGTCTGGCACATACCAGGTGCACAAAAATGTTTGCTGAATAAATGGATGGAGATTTTAAACCTGGATGATTCAGAGAAACACAGAAAGAAAAGCAGGTTTTGAAGTAATGGTGAAAGATAAAAACTAGCTCAGTTTTGAGAGGAGGTGCTTAGATTACTCACAGGTGATTAATGTGTAGGCCTCAGGCCAGCACCTGGGGCACAAGAGTGGAGGTTCAATGAGATGGTCAAGAAGGAGAATGCAGGCAAGAGGGTTGGGGGCGGGGAGGAAAGAAAAGATACTTGGAAATAACAAGTGCTGAGGAAGATGTGGAAAAAAAGAAACCCTTGTCCGCTCTTGGTGGGAATACAAGCTGGTGCAGCCACTGTGGAAAACAGTATAGAAAAATTACAGAATTACCATATGATCTAGTAATTCCATTACTGGGTATTTACCCAAAGTAAATGAAAACATTAATTCAAAAAGATATAAACACCCTTATGTTTATTGCAGCATTATTTACCATAGCCAGGATATGGAAGCAGCCCATGTGTCCATCCATAGATGAATGGAGAAAGCAAGTCTATGCAATGGACTATCAGCCTTAAAATAGAATGGAAACTTGCCATTTGCAACAACATGGATGGATATAGAGATTATAATGTTAAGTGAAATAAGTCAAAGACAAATACCATAAGATTTCACTCATAGGTGGAATTTAAGAAACAAAAAAGAGACCAAAAAAAAACCCGACTCTTAAATATAGAGAACTGGGGGTTGCCAAAGAGGAGGTGGATAGGCAGATGTGTGAAACAGGTGAAGGGAATTAAGAGTACACTTACAGTGATGAGCACTGACTAATGCACAGAATTGAATATATAGCACACCTGAAACTAATGTTACATTCTGTTTATACTTGAAAAAATTTTAAAAATTAAAAAAAAGTGTAAAAAAAAATTTTAATCAAAAAGAGACACGTTTTAAGAACCATGCCTAGGGCGAGCGCAGAACCAGCAATACGGAAACGAAAAAGAGGAAAAATTTTGAGGGCTAAGAAGAGGGAAATGAATTTAAGAGCTGGGTTTATTAATGACATAAACACATGAAGTAGTAATGCGCAGCATTCGCTTAATTGGGAAGTACAATTTCACCTAAGGAACCTAAGCAAGAGCCTCATACCTCCACCGGTAAAAGTAATTAAAGAGCGAGCTCTACTAGACTACACACCAAAATTTGGGGAAAGGATTAATTTTAGAACCCTCTGGGGTCTTACAATGACGGTTCGGGGTTTAAAAACCTATCAGCATTCCATCTATGCACCCTCTCGGGTCACAGCTAGAAGCTGTGGTCTGGCAGGTTCCGATTTCAATGAAGCTGTTTCTTACTCCTTCTCATCATCTTTCCGTGACTACCCAGTGAGGGCTGACGGTACCGGCAGGTGCTTTAGGGGCCTCAGGGAGGAACCAGAGCAGGGCAGCGACCGGGAAAGAATAGTCGGGCGGCCCAGGCTCGGAGAGGCCCTCTCTCCCGGCTGCAGGTCGACGGGTCAGCCGGTGTGTCAGGGGCCGCGCCCCCGCGCCGCCTCTCCCCGCTGGGCCGACTTCGCCGAAGCCCTCGCCCGACCCCCACGAGCCCGGGCTCCCCTTCCTACCTGCCGCACGCGGACTCGGCCAGCCCTCAGCCGCTCACCGCCGACCCAGACAGCAGGGAGCCCACCTCTCCCGGCGGTTCCCGGCCGAAGCCCTCCAGCTGGCTACCGGCGGCACGTGATACCACCCCCGTCGCGCCCCGCCCCCTCAACCCTGCTCGCGCTCCGCCTCCCGCCGGCGTGCCCCACCCACAAGAGCGTCGCTGACCGATGACGTAGCCGGCGCAGGCGCCCTTGGCAAGGCCGAAGTGCTGCTGGTTTTGAGCGTGGAGGTACGTGGTGTTGGCTCTCCCAGCGAGAGGGGAAAGTGGGGTGCGTGGAAAACCGAGGGCTCCCGAGGAAAGAGGGGAGGGGGAGAAAAGTCCTAGAAGCCTGTCCTCCGAGTGCTGGGGTACGGGGCGGTGTCCGGCACCTCTCGGGGCCCTTCCTCAAGAGGCTTGGAGGCGTCCCGCAGTAATTGAACCGTGGATTTCATTACGGGTAATGGCTCGCGTCCAGGTGAAGTTTAAGGATTAAGTTGGCGTCCGCTGCGTGGGATATTTTCCTCCTCGGGCAGATCATTGGGGAACCTGATTTATGTGGTAAAAGAACATGAGATCTGGAGACCTGGCTTCTCTCTCTCCCTCCCCCCACCCCTTCCTCTCTCTCTCTCTCCCTCCCCCCCCCGCCCCCCCGGAGCTATGGCTTAGTCTCTTCGCTCCATCTCATCTGTGAAACGAGATAGTCGTCCTCACCATCCCTTTCACAGCTACCATTCTGTGATTTCTGCCTCCCGGAATCTTACCCTTTATCATTATCCTGGGTGGGACTAGAAATCTTGTGACTCGTGTTCTAAACTTGGTTTGGGTACGCGGGCGTAGAGTTAGGTTGCTTGCTTTGATTAGGATTGACTTGGATAGCATCTGCAAGTAAGATTTCTGCATTAATATTCCAATAGACTCATCTTAATTTTTTAAAAATCAGAATATCTATGTTAATGTTAGTCCTATGTTTTTCATAGACTTAAATGTTTAATGTGACATTTAATATTTTGCCTCATTTCAAGAGGCAAATCTCCAAAGTATATTGAGAAAGTTGATGTTTTTTTATTTTACCTTTTTTATTAGCATTTTAAAGGTCATCTGCACCTTCTGACTGGGAAAAGATGGTCAACGTCTTGAAAGGAGTGCTAATAGAATGGTTAGTAGTTTTGATACTTAATGAAATTTAAATCTCCATATTTAATCTTGATATATATGTACCTCCTCTAGAATCCATGTTTTCGTTTTGTTCTAAGATCTAAAGGAATCAGGGGCGCCTGGGTGGCTCAGTCGTTAAAGGTCAGCCTTCAGCTCAGGTCATGATTCCAGCGTCCTGGGATCGAGCCCCACATCAGGCTCCCTGCTCGGTGGGAAGCCTGCTTCTCCCTCTCCCACTCCCCCTGCTTGTGTTCCCTCTCTCACTGTGTCACTGTCAAATAAATAAATAAAATCTTTAAAAAAAAAAAAAAAAGATCTAAAGGAATCAAGTCTTTCAGCTTTCTCAACTTCATTTTTTTATATAACAAGTGAGACAGATTCTATTGCTGCGTTTCTTCCTGGTGCCAGATTTCAATGTCTCAGTCCAGTTGATGTAATTGGCATATTTCCAGCATGTTTTGGTCTGGGGCAGTGTATTTTTTAGATCAACACTCTTTAGAGGAACAGTGCTCATATTGTCCTCCAACCATCAGGGATTGACTAGAATTTTAAGGTCTGCCTATGTCTTCACCATCACAAACTGTGGTCTTGAAAAAGTAAGAAAATCAAGAGCCAGTTGAAGGTTGTCTAAACTAGGCACACATTTCATAGGAGAAGCTAGAAACCTTAATGGTAGCAATGAATTCCTCAAAGGAAGCTATTAAGGGCTTTGTTATCACATAGTCTGAAAAACTAAACTATTGGACCAGTTCTTGCTCAGTCTCCACTTGTTTGTGATGGGAAGGCTGGGGGAGGAGCAAAACCAAACTGTAGGATACTCTGGCATTTAGGACAGCGTTGTCCTATAGAAATATAATGTGAGCCATATATGTAGTCTTAAATCTTCTATTAACCACATTAAGAGTAATTTGAAGCAGGTGAAATTAATGTTTTATTTGACCCAGTGTGTCCAAAATATTTCGACATGTTCTAAATCTTCAAAGTTCTTACTGAGATTTCAAAATTTTGCTGAGTCTTTTTTCATACGACAGCTTCAAAATCCAGTGTGGAGTTTACTTTCACAGCCCATCTCACAGGCTGGCCACATTTCAAGTGCTCCGTACTGAGCAGTGCAGATTTAATGTTTGGATAGACACAACAAAGACAAGAAGAAGAGCCAGTGATGTAGGAGGGAAGCTAAGAGGGAATGTTTCATAAAGGTGAGTGGGCCATGTCCAGTGGTGATGAGAGATGGAATAAGATGAAGACACACTAGAAGTCAGCGATTTCTTTTTTTTCTCTTTTTTTGTTTGTTTTTTTTAATGAGAACTATTTTAGTAGAGAGGTGGAATAGATTTCAGATTGGCGTACTGCCCTAAGTACGGCCCTCTTGCGTCGGGGTTCCCCACTTAGCGGGAAGTCTGCTTAAGAGTCTCTGATTCTCCCTCTCTCTGCCTCTCCCCCCACCCCAGAGTGCGCTGGCGTGCATGCACGCACTCTTTCTCAAATCTTTAAAAAAAAATGTAGGTAATTGAATGTGCTAATAAAACAAAGTGTTGAGGGTAGAGCTAGAGAGTGTAATGCTAAGCGAAACAAGTCGGTCAGAGAAAGATAAATACCATGTGATTTCACTCATGTGGAATTTAAACCAAATAAGCAGAGGGGAAAAAAGCAAGACAAATCAAGAAACAGACTCTTAATTATAGAGAACAAACTGATGATGATGGGGAGTAAGGAGTGCACTTGTGGTGATGAGCACCAGGCGTTGAATGGAAATCTTGAAATGTCGAATCACTAACTTAAGCATTGATTGTGACATTTTTATAATCAAATAATGTAGCAATTAAAGTATTTGAAAACATTTTTAAGTGATATGGGACAATGACATTGTGTAATACAATGGTAAATAAAAAGGTCTGAATGCCTTCATGAAATGACACTGAGCATTTACCAGATACTATCCTAAGCACATGGTACTACTCAGTTTTCACAACCACCCTATGAAATATAGGTTTTTTTTTTTTTAAGATTTTATTTATTTGAGAGAGATACAGATAGTGAAAGAGAGGAGGAGAAGCAGGCTCCCCACTGAGCAGAGAGCCTGACATGGGGCTCAATCCCAGTATCCTGGGATCAGGACCCGAGCCAAAGGCAGACACTCAACCAACTGAACCATGCAGGTGCCCCCCAGATATAGGTATTCTTATCCCCATTTTTAAGATTTTTTGTTTATTTATTTGACAGCACAGCAGGGGGAGCAGCAGGCAGAGGGAGAGGGAGAAGCAGGCTCCCTGATAAGCAAGGAGCCCGACACAGGGCTCGATCCCAGGACCCTAGAATCATGACCTGAGCCAAAGGCAGACGCTGCACCGACTGAGCCACCCAGGCGCCCCCTTACTGTGTTAAGTTTTTAAAAAGAATGTGTGCATGCATATTCTTAGAATATCATATACACAGGCTAGTAATAACAAAAATATTTTTGGAACAGCAAATCCTTTAATAGGGGTAGAAATGGGTAATTTAGACCTTTCTACCTATATCCTCCCACACACCCAGAAACTCTTGGCATTTTAATTGCTCTTCATTTGAGTATCTACTATGAGCAAAGTGTTTTTAGATGTATTCTCTAAATATAAGTACCACTGTCTCCATCTTACTACCTAGGACCCTAAGACATGGAGAGGCTCAGTGATTTCATATATCATACATATTTTGGTTGACTTAGCTGGGCTTGGGGTTAGTCTTCTTTAGCATCATGTCTTTCTAAGAATAAACCTATTGTATGTCATATTGGGAACTTGGGACTGTTATTCTGGTTAGCTCAGTGACCCCTGTGTTGGCCCTTTCTTTCTCTTAAGACCCTATTCATTGCAAATATTTATTGAGCACCTACAATATGCTGAACCCTAATAAAGGTAACTATATCTCAAGCTGGACAATACGCTTATTCCAAAAACACTTTGGAAAATGCTTTTAAGAAGGAAATAAGCAAACAAAGCCATTTCATGTTCAGTAACAGTTTTCTAAAACATTCTGTTCTCAGGACATACAGAATTTGGAGAAATACTTTTAAGATTTTTAAGTAATTATACCTGTTAGCTAATTATTATCAGGAAGGATAGTTTACCATTGCTGAGCCAAGATTATCATTCTTTTTTTTTTTTACTTTTTTTTATTTTACTATGTTAATCATCATACATTACATCATTAGTTTTTGATGTAGTGTTCCATGATTCATTGTTTGAGTATAACACCCAGTGCTCCATTCAGTACGTGCCGTCTTTAATACCCATCACCGAGTTAACCCATCCCCCCGCTCCCTCCGCCAAGACTATCATTCTGATGGGATGGACAGTGCTGACAATTTTGTGCAGGTGACCAGTGAAGTCTCTGATCTGCTTTACATCTAACTGTGTCATCCTGGTAGAGCCTTTGTGGTGTGATACTTTTTAGAATCATGTTTTATAGAGGTTAAACTCACTCAGGTTATGTAGGAGGGAGTTTGATTGATACCTGCCTTCACATCTCCAGGTCAAAGACCTTTTTTTCTTGCTCACTAGCCCTGATCCCAGGACTTTAACCAAGTATGTCTATGGGCACTTGGTTTTGTTTTTCTCTCTTACCAGCAGGTTCTCCCATAGAATCTCTTCATGAGGAAGTAGAATAAATAGCCCTGTATGCAGGCAAGATACTCAAGTTCCCTTAATGTTTCATAATAAAAGTCCCTTAAACTTTGTCCTTTTGAATCATTATAAATTATATTTCAGGTACATGCTTGAGAATTCAGTCTCAAATTGCTTGCTGTTTTCCTTTCAAAAAGTTGAATTGAAGCGGTTAATAAGGGAAGTAGTTATTTCAGTGTCTCACCAGTCACTTTGTAGGTATCTCATTTGTCAGTTAGCAGTGTTTCCCCAGGTATGGGGAATGGTGCTGGTTCAAGATGGTTTGTAGTAGAACACAAAAAAAATTGTTTTTATATGACCAGTTTGATTTATTTGAGGATAAAAACACAGTGGGATGACTGGTGATTCATACCTGGCAAAGTTAAGCTTAAAAGTTGATTTAAAGGCAATTTAAAGAAAAATAAGAAGTAATATGTAGCTGAGGTGTTACAAGAGATGGCTAAATGAGCAAGGATAGTATGCAAAAGGCAAAATTTGAGAACACCAACGTGCTAATTCAAAGCGCATTTGCAAGTCCCCCTGTCACTTAGGTCTCAATCCTTCTCTTACTGTTCCTGTCACCAGCACCTGACACACTGGATCGCTTCCTCTTCTTGAATGTCCTTTGTTCACTTACCTTCCAGGACTCAGGGTTTTCTTCCTACCTCAGTGGTCACTGCTTTATAATCTACTTGGCTCATTTGTCCTTTTCTTCCTAACCTTTTGATATTAGGGAGACTGGGTCTTGGTCCTTGGTCCCTTCTCTGTAGCTGTGTTAATTCCCTTGTCAGAGCTTGATGACTGACTTTTTCTCTTCAGTCCGGACTTCGCCGCTGAAATACGGAATTGTCTATCCACTTTCCTACTCAGTTTTTTGACTTGGGTGCCAGTAGGCATCTCACAGGTAACATGCCTAAAACCCCACTCTTGATTTTCCCAGCAAACCTGTTCTTCCTCCTTCCTCCTCATCTCAGTAAAAGGCAACTCCACTTTTTCATTTGCTCTGACTGAATATGTTGAGAGTCTCCTTAATTCTTCTCCTTCAAAGCTGGAATCTAGTTTCAGCAAGTTAGGCAGGCTTTACATTCAACATATGTCTATAGAATCCAGACACTTCTCCCCTCACTGTTACCATGTGGGTCCAAACCATTATCATCTCTTGCCTGGGTTACTACAGTCACCTTCTCATCAGTCTCCCTATTTCTACCCTTGCCCTCACTACCCTCCAGTCTTTTCTCAACGCTGCAGGCAGTATGATCCTTGCGTTTAAAATTGAAGTCAGTCTGTAAGTTAAATCATGTCACTCAATAAAAGCCAAACTGCTAAAATCACCTCCAAGGCCCTTTGTGATCTGGCCCAGCTATAACTTTCTGACCTCATCTTCCACTTCTGTCCCCTTTAGTCACCCCTCTCCAGCCTCATGGCCTTACTCTTCACCCTGCCTAGGACGCCCTTGCCTGAGTCACTACATGCCTTGCTTACTGCCTCTTGTTCGTTCAGATGTCACTGCTCAGTAAGGCCTTTCCTGCCTCCCCTGTTTAAACTTACAAGGTCCTATCACTTTCATCACTGCCATTTCTCATCCTACTTCCCTACATTTTGTGTGTGTGTGTGTGTGTGTATCGTAATGCTACCAGTAGAATATAAGCTCCATAATGGAGGATTCTGAATTGTTTTGTTTACTGCTGAAGACCCAGGACTAGAGTAGTACCTAGCACATGACAGGTGCTCAATAAATATTTATTGAATGAGTGAATAAAGCTTAAAGTAGCAAATTTACTTCTGAACCAGTCAATTCTGCAGATTAGAATGCTCATTCTAATTCTGCAACCATAGAATATGACTGAATTTTGCCAAACCTAGGTTATTGTTCCAAACAAGTGTAAGATGACAGGCATACTAGAAACTAAATTTAAAATTTATGTCAGTTCTGATGTGGACAGACTTGTTTGTTTATTCACATTTTATGGTGTAGTAAATTGTTAATAAAATCACTGTAATGGTAAGTTACTGAAAATAATTAAAATCATCTCTAGGAAGACTTGACTTTATTAATAGTTAATATACCATGAACCATACTCATATGGTGATTGAAATAAGTCCTTTACCTTTGTTAGCTTCACTTACACCTAGTTTGTACTTGAAAAAAGTAAAACTTGTTTTTAATTTTTTCAGGAAATTACACTGACCTCATTTTTGCTAAACACATTATTGTACATTATATTAGGTCTAAAGAGTGTCCTTTGTTGTGATTCAGGGTTTTTATGACATGTTTCTGTAAATCCTAGAAATCGTTTGTTTTGTTTTTATTTTTAGATTTATGTATTTATTTGAGAGACAGGTGTGGGAGAGCTGGTGGGGAGGGGTGGGAAGAGGGAGAGAGAATCCTCAAGCAGACTCCCTGCTGAGCTCGGAGCCCAACATGGGGCTTGCTCCCAGGACCCTGAGGATTATGACCTGAGCTGAAATAAAGAGTTGGACACTTAGCCAGCTGACTCACCCAGGCACCCCATGTAAATCCTAGAAATTGTATCCCTCTTTTCCTTGTGACTTTATTCATTCCAAACTAAAAATCACAAATAAATAGAATTAAATTTGTGTCTCTTCTTTGAGCTCAGTATTCTCAAGAAGATTTTGGTAGGATTTCCTTTAAAGATTCTGAGTGATAGTTCAAACTTATAAAGTTCAGAATTTTAAGGAGGAAAAAAAAAAACTTGGGAACCTACTGCAAGCCAAACACTATCCTTGGCATTATTTCCCTCTAATTTTTATAACAGTTCTGTTATGTAGGCTCATTTTGTGGTGTTGAAGATTAAGTATATATTAAGGTCACACAAGTAAGTGATAAAACTGAGATTGAATCCAGATCTGACTTTTACTGTTCACCCTGCTTTATCACAGTGACTGTTTAACTGATTTTGTAAATTAATTTTTCACAGGCAAGATAGTGAAATCTATTGGCGTCTTAAATGTAATGGTCATGGGCAAGTAAGGAAATTAATTTTTTAAATCAGTTAAGGGAGCTGTGATTCTAGGCCCTATTAACTACAAAGCTCTGAACATTACTTTTTCACTTGTCAGTGACAAATTACTCTTTTAAAATCTTATCATTGGCCTCTTTCTCTAAAACTTGATGGAACAGTTCTAATACTTGAGACAGAGGGAGTGAGGGATTGAGTAACAGTTTAGAACTTTTAAAGTTACCCTAAAAATTCTGCATGCCCAATTCTCATTGCTCAGGTGTAATTTGACAGCTCAGTGAGTCGTTATCATGTGTTTCTCTCTGCAGTGACCCTGCCATGAAGCAGTTCCTGCTGTACTTGGATGAATCAAATGCCTTAGGGAAGAAGTTCATCATTCAAGACATTGATGACACTCATGTCTTCGTTATTGCAGAGTTGGTTAACGTCCTCCAGGAGCGAGTAGGTGAATTAATGGACCAAAATGCTTTTTCTCTTACCCAGAAGTGAAGATACTCAATATTGATCACTTGGGAATTACAAGTAACAAATGTGAGAGACGGTCACCATTCAGTGTCCTGTGTGACTGATGAGACTTAGTGGCTTAGGCACATATCATGGGAAACCTGTGATGTTGTTTGTTCAGAAAAAAGTCCCTGAACTGATTTTCTTGTTTTTTTCCCCAGTACATGTACCCTAGAATTTAAAAAAAAGAAAGAAAAAAACTTCAATGGTTGTCTGTAATTTGGCTTTTATTATCCTACATTAAAATATAAATGTAAATGGTTTTTGAATACCAATTTAATACATTAAGAATATAATGGAATATGCCTTTATCAGTTTAACCTAGGTGTTTGTTTTGCTTGTTCCTGTTAATGTGGGATTTTGTAGTGTGGGTGTGGTTTGTTCTGATCTAATTAGAAACTTCACAGATTGATTACTTAGATAAATATGCCAAGGTGGGACCTTTGGTAATATTTATGTTTTTGCAAATAATATCTGCATAGTGGCCAGCTGTACTGGTGAAGAAGATGGGGAAGAGAACCATGTTACATTAATGTAAACTACACTTTGCATTTCCCTAAAAATACAGTGTTTTAAAAGTACAGAGTATTTGGGGCGCCTGGGTGGTTTAGTTGGTTAAGCGTCCGACTCTTGATCTCAGCTCAGGTCTTGATCTCAGGGTCATGAGTTCAGGCCCCACGTGTAGAAGATTAGAAATAACCAATGGGCATGTTGCGTTGCAAGCTTTATCTTTTCCTTGTCCAAACGTTTTTGGTCACATTTTCCTTTCTCATCAGGACAAGTGTTCTTTTGTTTAAAAAAAAGAAAAAAGATCTGTTTTATTTGTGCCTTATTCCATATGAGAATCCGTTTAAACTCTTTTTAAAAAGAAATAAGGACTGTAGAAAGAGTACAGCATAAGGAATATAGTCAATAATATTGTAATAACATTGTATGGTGACAGATGGTAAGTAGACATACCGTGGTGAGCATTTTGTAATGTATACAATTGTCAATTCACTATGTTTTACACCTAAAACTAACAGAATATTGTGTATCAACTACAATTTTAAAGAAAGGGAAGGAGGAGCAGCTAGAAACAAAGTGCGTCTTGTGGGAAGCGGGATGATTGGGTTAAGATATGTTGCATATGGTTTTATGATTGTTTGGAGGCAGAAATAACACTGACAGGAGCTTTGCTTCCCTTCCTGAAAATAGCGTTAACTAGGATGTGTTCACGTGATGAGAATTTTCTAAGAGAGAAGAGGACTTTTGCAATGCCATAACCCAGTTTTCTTCCCTCGTATGGTGTGCTTATTCAAAGCACCTGTGTACCATTTTCACTCACTTACGCAAACTGGACACTTCTACTGTTTGGTACAGTAGGTCCTCCATTATCGGTGGTTTCACTTTTCCACCAGCAACCAAGGTCCAGAAGCAGATGATTCTCCTTCTCACTATCGTCAGAAGGTTGATAGTAACCTAATGCTGTCACGATGCTTATGTCATTCACTTCACTTCATCTCATCATATGGGCATTTTGTCATCTCACATGAGGATCCCACAAGAGCAAAGACGGTGAGTATAGTACAGTGAGAGAGAGAGAGAGAGAGAGACCATATTCACATAACCTTAATTACAGTTTATTGTTATTCTATTAATTATTGTTCTTAATCTCTTACTGTGCCTAATTTATAAATTAAACTTTGTCATAGGTATATACATATAGGAAAAAACATAGTATACATGGGGCTCAGTACTTTCTGTGGTTTCAGGCATCCACTGGGGGTCTTGTAATATAATTACCCATCTATCATGATTCCCACCAAAACAATCAATCCACAGAAGTTTGATTCTCATATAACAGTGCAAACCATTTTGTGGCATTATTGGTACATTTGGTACTAAAATTTGTTGAGTAGAAAATATATTTCTTGAGAATTTCCTGCTGTACTGAAATGGTACTGAATCTTGTATTTCGGGCATATCTAAGTCAATTTCAAATAAACCTCAGGTATTTGTCAGCTAATACCTTTTATATTAACATGAAACCTTAAGAAAATTTTTCTTAAAATCCCAGGTTAAAAGGTATGGAAAAACTATATTGGACAGTGAATGCAAGGAGTCTTATGTGAAGGAAAATCTTTTTATTTTTTTCCCAAAGATTTTACTTACTTATTTGATAAAGAGGGAGCAGAAGCGGGGGAGGGAGAGGGAGAAGCAGACTCCACTGAGCAGGGAGCCCAACATGGGCTCAATCCCAGGACCCCAAGATCATGACCTGAGCCAAATTAATCGACTGAGCCACTTAACCGACTTAACTGAGCCACCCAGGCACCCCAGCTCTCGTTCTTTAAAAAAGTCATATTGGAGCAAATGTTAAGTATTTCTCTCTGGACACTGCATTAAGAAAGATAGGACATTGTGACACTAGGAAGCCCACTTGCAGCTATTTAGTTGATTTGTTCAACTACGAGAGAATAGGACATAACCAACTGACATTTTACCTAGACTTTCCTTTTTGGAATCTGATTGACATTATTTGATTTGGTACACTTTAGATGTTGAGAATAAGAGATGTAGGCTGCTTGGTAGTGGAGAAATTGACTACTGTCTTTTAAAAATGAAGTCCTGAATATTATGAAAAGGTAGTATTAACTAAATTGTCTTAACTTGCAAAAAAGAATCATTTTAATTGACGGAAGTTAGGTGATCAGTCACAGATATCTGTGTACTAAAATTGTGATACTTAGAGTTATACTAATTTCTAACTTCTTGATAGGTTTTTTTTTTCCTTACATACTGTATCAGGTCAAAATTCTTAATTCCTTGAACACTGATTTCCTTGTGAAATTTAATGTGATCACTTTAAAATTCCAAGCATCCTAAGTATGCATCACAGTTAATGTAAAAATGTATATTGAGGAATCAGTTTTGGTGAACAGTAATTGAACTCTACTGATAATGGGCAACAAAGACTACTCCCCTTTATTGCTGATAGACACCACAGGTGGTAATCAAAATTAATGATTATATTGCTTAACATCAGCTGTAACAGGTGATTTGACATAACTTTATTATTTTCTGAAAAGATGGTAAATAGTGTGTACTTACTCTAGTTTGTAGTTACTCAATAAACCTCATTTACCTCTCAAGAAACTAAATAAAAGCTCTGATATGATTCCTTCTGATTTAACTAGAATACTGGGATCATTCTCTTAACATTCTCCTATCTTAACACATAGGAAGAGGATATATTTTAAAAGTGAAAAAATTATGCCGTTTGCAAATATAGTCAATAAACATTCTCACGTGTATGTAACTACTTCATTTGCAGCAAAGATAACACTGAAAGATCTATTGGTGAGGTTACTGAATAAGCTTTTTAAGTACTTTATTCTCACTATAGGAAAGTGATTAAGGGACAACCTGCATCCAAATGTCTGCTCCCTGCTTGCTGGCCCTGGGATCTTGGACAGGTCATTGAATTTCTCTCTGAAAATAGGAATACCTGTTCTCAGAAACAGTTTGGTGATTGTAAGTTAACGTGTCAGGCACATGATTCTGAACTTTAGTTACTTTGAATCTAGAAGAGCACCGCGGAAGATGGGTTGGGATTTCAGCACACACCCACACACACACCCAAGGACACTTTAAAAAATTTCTGCATAATCAATGCAGTGAGAATGAGCAGATGGGGGAGGAGGGGAATTCTTAGAAAATGAGCATTGGATACATAGCATACTGTGGCCCACTACCTTCACTAATCTTGAAGCTGCTCTTGGGCAACTTGAATCTTGTTGGGAAATACCCAAACAGTTCATTTTTCCGAGACTGTCCCCAGGGCCCAAGGGTGCAAGAACACCCGGCTCCAGGGTCCCAAACTAGATCTGACTCCTGGCTGCTGACAAAATCCAAAGGCAGAGAGACAGTGGTAAAATAAGAAAGGAATTTATTTCAGCGAGGCCAACACTGGGAAGATGGACTAACATTTCAAGGAGTGTTGCTGAAGTGCTGAAAATACTTGTGGGTTCATATAAGGAGAACGTGGGGCAAAGGTCGGTGGGTCCGTGCAGGTTGGACAATACAGGTCAGGTCACTCACTGTCTTGGGGTCAGGCATGTGGGGGCTTGCTGGCATCCACACAGACATAAACAGATTGAATCACGTAACATCTGTACCATGCAAGGTTAACATTCATATTAATTCTGATTATTTAAGAGAAATAAAACAATTACAGAATTGAGGTCCTGTTTGTATTCTTCCTCAGTCACAGTCTTCTTTTTTTGCTTTCCCAATACAAATGTGACCCTGACGTTGATGAATCATCATCCATGGCTTTTGCTTGTATTAGTATGTATCCATCAGAAATACATACTCTTGTGTGTTTTAAACATAAATGATACATAAGAGATAGAATCATGTAAACCACCATTCTATAATTCTTTTCCCACTATTTTTGAGATCTGTCATGTTACATATTTGGATTCAGTTCATTCATTGTAACTTACTGTCCAATCATGTGAATACATACGATTTACACATCTGCTCCTTTATTGATAAACTTTTAAGGGATCTCTGAATGTTACTACAGCGAGCATTTTTCTGTATCTCTTCCCCTGTGCAAGTGTTGTGCATTGTTTCTCAGAAATGGAGTTATTAGGTCAAGAGTCAGACACACTTTGACCTTCAAGAAATCTTGCCAGATTATGCTCCAAAATAGTTGAGTCAATTAAAACTATACCAGCGAAATGTGAAAGTTCTGTTTCTCCACATCCTTGCCAGCACTTCTGCTAATCTAATGGATTTAAAAACTGTGTTTTTATCTTTTTATATTTATTTTCGAAAGCTGTTTCAGTCTTGTGTATGTGTAATGGGTCATTACACATCTCATGTTTAATGGAAAATATATGGTATTTCAGCTTCATTATTATTTTTACAGGTTGGCCTTTACCCTACCCTTTATTCTAACACTAAACCAGTGGGCAAATACCATTTGTAACAACTGAATTGTAAATGAGCTGTTATACAAAGACAGTTTATGTTCATAAGTCGGAGACTTCCTGCAATAAGCTAGTTTTCCCTCTTCATCTAAATTTTGCTAAAAACAGCAAACCATATCTTAAACGTAGCTTAAGATATTTAGCTGCTCCAGTTGATCAATAAGATGCGATAGATAGAAATTTTCAGGTTGAATTTTTCAAGCACACTTTTTCATTGAAGTATA